AGCCCCGGGCACGGGGCGCGAGGGGGGGGGCAGCCATTGACAGGGCTGCCCCCTCTCCAGACACCCCCTGGATGAGCTTCTAGCTCTGTCCTTTGCCCTGGCCCAGCCCCACTCCCTCCTTCACGGCAGGGGCCTTGATCTGCTGCCTGCCCCCCCCCCCTTCCCTTCCCTTCCCCTCCCTTCCCCTGCAACAGACTTACCAGCCGGATGCTGTTCTCCAAACTGTCATGCTGCATATTGGCAGTCGGATCAGTATTGGCTGATATGGCTCATTAATAATCGGCCATCGGTATTGGCCCAAAAAATCTTGGGACCCCATCTTAGTTTTCAGATCAAAATATGCATGTCAAAATGTGAAATCATTGTTGGTAGCATCCTCTGTGAATGAACAAAATCAGATTAGCTGAAAAATACTTGGAGGTGACATGGTGGAAAGGAAATTTTAAGAAATTGGGTTTGAGCTGTTTTTGTTTCCAAGCAATATTCAAAGGTTCTTCTTAAGGAAGACTTTGTTTTTTAATCTGAAAAAATATAAGGAATGTTACATTTGGTGTTTTTTAGTTTAGTTGAGAGATTTCTTGGAGGGGTAAATCAAAGTGTGGATTCCCTTTACAGCGTAATTGCAAAGGAAAGCTATCACAGGGTAATGTGTTGATAAGACCATGTTTTAAAACTTATTGAAAGTTTCTTTCTCTCCTAGTTGTTTGGCCTTCAGTATCTTATCTGTTACAATGTAATTTTACTAGTACTCTAATTACTGTTAACTGTTTCCAAGATGGGAATATTGTTAGCTGTATTTTATATTTAGGAATATTTTTAGCTGTAGAACAAACAGCAAAAAGGGGTGTCTGTAATTTTATAAAGAAAGCAAACTAAAAAAAAAGGTGGAAGATTATCTGTTTTTCATTTGTGTGTCACAAATCGGGAGACCAATTAAAAGGTCTGCTATGTTTAAGGAAAATGCATAGGATAGCTGAGCATGGCATGATAAGCTGCCATTCTCTGGTGCCCTTTTCTGACCATTGTTTTGCATTTGCAGTGATCCGTTCTCTTGTGACTCAGACTTCTGTGCAGATCACATTCATTCTTGCATGCTTTGGGGCAGGACTGTTCAACTTCTAAGCCCCTGGGAGCTGCATGCTGTGTAGACTGCACCAGGACGTTTGTCATCCCTGCTGCTGCAATGCACACCTGTTCATCTGCCCTCCCCCTCAAGTGCTACACCATGGGGATGCAATCCTCCCCCACCTGCGGGTGCAGCCCCAGACTTGTCCTCAGCTCCCTGCCCTGCCCTGCCCCGCCCCACTGCCCTGTCCCCCTGGGGTGAAGGCAGGAAGCAGCAGCCAGAAGAGA